TCATCAGAGTGGCAGATTTGGGGATTTTACTGATTTTAGCTACAACGTCAACAGGGATTATGGCCAAACGGTGCGAGCTCGGGCCTCGTGGCTCCAATATGTGGGAGGCCCGTCTTTCATGATCCGTTTAATGTTCAAATGAGGTTTATTGGAGGTTGTGGGGCCAAACGATTAGGCCCAGAAGTGGCCCACGTTTTGGGCCCGTTTTTTGGCCTTCCCATTCATTTCCTATGGGACAGTGATTTGCTCTTTTCGCCTTTATTCAAAAACGCGGGGACTTATGAGAAAGAGAAATACAAGCACAGGTGGTGTGGTCAGTTCGGACATGCGTGTCTTTTTGGGCTTGATCCGTCAAACCGTGTGGGACTAGTTAGAGACCGAAATGTCCCAGAACAGGGCCAAACAGGGCCAGAACAGGGCCAGAACAGGGCAAGAACAGGGCCAGAACAGGGCCAGAACAGGGCCAGAACAGGGCCAGAACAGGGCCAGAACAGGGCCAGAACAGGGCTGTTTCTGATGCCACTGCACTGACACCACAGATGAGTGAACTTTAACCGAGTCCAAGGGCTGTAAACCCCACAGGACACACCCTGCCTCTGGAGAAACCTATTGAGTTAGTTATCTTCTGTCCCGCCCCCCCACTGAGCTCTCATAAGGAAGCTTGTGCTTATGACATACCCTTCTTTCTAACACACAAGCACAGTTAAACCCCTATATACACACACACATATGTAATTCAGAGAATGCATGATAACTTTTGTTCCATTATTCCAGTGCTTCTCAAATAGTGGGGCATACAGTGTAATTGCGCATCCACTCCAGTAGGGGCAGTGGCCTCTCATCGTTACTTCAGTGCAACATTTTACGATTTAAAGACAACAGGTTAGCCTCGGTTAGCATCTGTGTTCTGTCTGTAGCCTCCGTTATTCAACATAACCCCCCCAACATGAAAAAGTTTTTAACGGGGATGAAAATAAAAGCGGAGAGAGACAAAGATAACGAGACAAAAGAAAATGTTTTATATATTGTGCTCCCGAGTTAATGTTGCTTAACTGTATATAAATAAATAAATTAGTTATTATTTTTGTTGTTTTTGTAGTTTATTATTTATTATATTTATGAACTATAATTTATTGATTTGATTTAATTTTGTAATGGTGCAATTAGTTGGTCAAACATGTTTACAGTATAAACAAGGGTTTATTTATTTTTAATTTCAGGCATTGATGCACTTAAAATCTTTTCTGTTGCAGACTTAAAACACGATTTAATAAAGTTATTCTTTGTAAGTTTAACCATATGTCTTTCTTTTTTTCTTTTCTTTAATGTTGATAAGGATAAAATGTTATGCAGAGATGGATAGTCTCGGTGGGGAGTGGGGGGGGGGGGGGTAGTTTTCTTCTTGCAAGGGGGGCGTAACAGAAAATATTGAGAACCACTGCATTATTCTAACACAGGTCTTGATATTTTAGGGTTAAAGTTTGTTTTCCCGTCTGACAGAAACTCAGACAGAGACTTTTTCTAGAAGCCGTCTCAGTTAAACTCAACTCACAGACAAGACAAGTAATTTGGAGCATCTTTGAAACTAAAAATCAGCCATCATGTGATCAGAAACTCTTTGTTTTACATCTTTGTGGGGGTCTCATGTCAGTGTTCCTCCTTGTGAGT